AATCAGAGACAACCACGAGAAGTAAAACTGTTCAAACAGTATTTAAACTGTTAAGAATACAATTTAAAAATAAAAAAGTGGAATTGTCATTAATTTTTTACCTTACCCTTTAACAAAATTTGTATAGCTTTTCTATAAAAATAACTTATGCTACTTTCTATAGAGAGGTTTCTTTAGACCAGAGTTGTTAGTCCTTGGCCTTGCCAAAAACTAAGGCCTTGGCCCTGAAACTTTTGGCCTTGGCCTTGAAGTTTTTGGCCTTGACCTTCATTGTTTTGGCCTTGGTCTGAACAATAAAATACATAAAATTACAGAATTAAAAGTTTTTATTCCTCTTTTTTTACATAATTAATAAGGTAATTAATCATTCTTTATTTTGTAAAATTGTGTTGATATAAATATAGAAAATCTATACACATTTTATATTATACAATCTATACACATAGAAATACATACTATGCAATCTATTCACATAGAAAATCTATACACACAGAAAAAATAGAAGAAATTGCATAAATAAACTTTTTAAAAAAATGACTATTAATATTAAATAAGTAATAGAATTATTCACTAACTCAAATTCTTATAACAAAAATTTATTTAAACACAAATATGCATTTAAACATAAAACTCTTTTGATGCTTTCTGATTAGAATTTTATCCACAATAAGTTTTGACGTGCTTCCTTACCATAGGCAATATGAGAAACTTTGGAAACAAGTTGTACATAATGTCTAAACACTTTCTGAATAAGAAGAAAAATCTTTGATGTATTTTGTTATCTGACTTTATCAAAAAATACTTGAGCTCATACCATTTTCGAGCATCAAAGGTATTTTTTAGAACTTTAATAATTTTGTTTATAGTTTAACCACTGGTTTTACTATTTTGAATTTCAAATAACCTCTGCATAAATTTTAAGTAGAGAAATTCCTTTTGCCTGTCCGTATTGAGTTTGTCTAAAACTAAAGTCGATCTGATTTTTGGATCAATAAATAGTCCTAAAAAATCTAGCATAAGTGCATTTTTCTAATTAGCTCAATTATTTAGCTCCAAAAATGATGCTTCTTGCTACCAATCCACAACATTTCATGTAATTATTATTGTTTTATAATAAAGAAGATGATTCAATCCTTTTGCCCCAGTATTACTGTGAGCTTTAATCACAATTTTTATAACTTTTATAATAACAATTTCGTTTACAGGTTAAAGAAAAAATGCTAACGCCGGAAATGGATACTAGTGAAATTACATTATTCGAGGATTGTAATACTATTATTGTGGAATACTATGATTGCAGTAATAATGACGTTTTTGTGGTAAATTTTGTACCAAATCAATACTCAAATTCCGATCAATTACAAATCAAATTAAAGTAAGGTTCATTTTAACTATTTATCTATTATTATTTTTTCACATCTTCCATAATCGTTTTTACACTATGGTAATTGGTAGATTTTGTTAAAATATTATGAGTTCATAATCATATTATTAAATTTCAGGGTAATGAAGCACTGCTAAGTAAAGGCACACTACATAAGAGCGAAAATGGTGCGGATTTTGTGCTTAATAATATTCAGATTTCTGTGGTTAATGAGGACAATGAATAAAGCGAAATTATAATAAACAATGATGTTATCTTACACAGCGACCAAACTTCTAATGTAAATGGGAAAATTGAGACAGTTACAGTTGAAAATACAATGGTCAATGTAGATTAAGTTAAACGCAAAAAATGTTTACCTTATAAATCAAGGAAAGGAATTGAAAGACCAGGAAAGCAACCAAAAGTGGTATGTAATAATTCATGTCGTTTTAAATGCTCGTAGTTATTTACTGAAGAAGAAAGAATTGAAATATGCAAAACTTTCAGGTCATTGGATTATGATAAGCAAAAGGATTTTTACATTGGTAATATATAGAGCAAAATTTACCTAAAAGAAAGAAGTTGCAAACAACAAAAGGAAATCGGTCTTATTTCTTTAAGAAAGGTGACGCAAAGGTGCGAATTTGTCAAACTTTTTTTAAAAATATACTAAGCATTTCTGATGGACCTATCATCCACGCTTTTAAAACACGGAGCAATGTGGGAGTATTTGAAGGACCAGATAAACGAGGTGAACACTCTCCGTCAAATAAAACCTCAGCAGATTCTCTAAATTTTGTTAAATCACACATAGAATAGTTTCCTGTAATGGAATCACACTATTGTCGTCGATCAAACAAAAGGCTGTACCTTGATTCCAAGCTTTCAATTGCAAAGATGTACGAACTTTACTTGAAAGAGTGTCCAAGCCAAAATAAATCTCCAGTATCAACAAAATCGTACAGACGAATATTTTCACTGCAATTATTCTTTTTTAAAACCCAAGAAGGATCAATGTGTGAAATGTAACAATCACGACAGTGCCTCTAATGAAGCTAAACTAACATTGTCAATAGAATACCAGCTTCACCAAAAAAGGATAGAAGATGCTCGGTTAGCCAAAGCTACAGACAAAGAGCGATCGAACATTGATCCGTCTTTTTTATCTGCAGCCTTCGATCTCCAAAGTGTGCTCAAATACCGTCTAGTGACACTTCTCAATTATACTCTCGCAAGATCTGTGTCTACAATTTGACGATATACGAATCACACTTGCCTAATGACGGATATTGCAATGTTTGGACAGAAATGAATAGGAAAAGGGTTAGTTCGGAAATAGGAAGTGCCTTGTGGTTCAAGCTGAAACAAATTCCCGAAACTGTTTAAGAATTTTCAGATTGCTGTGGAGGTCCTAATCAAAATCAACACATAGCTGCATTTTTTATGATGCAAACACTCCATTTTGATTGCATAGAACACAAATTCTTAGAAACTGGAGATACTTACATGGAAGCTGACTCCATGCACAGTGCAATCGAAGCTCAAAAGAAAAATGTACCAATTTTTTCAATAATTGATTGGATGACAGTTTTCAGATTGGCACGGTCAACAAGGAAGCGAAAGAATGCTAAACCATTCAATGTACATCAACTGACATCTTCTGATGTTAGATTTGTCTGATTTATCAAAAAAAAATTATAAAAAACCGTAACAAAGATGAAAATGGTACTACAGTTAAATGGCTGAAAATAAAATGTCTAAAGTATGAGAAATCTAAGCCAAATTGTTTTCAGTATCGTTATGACTTTATAGTTGTAAATTTTCATTGTGATATTCATTACATTTTAGTTCACAAATTTATAAAAAGATCCTTAACTCAAGTCTATATAAACATGGTTTGTTGTTAATGGGTTGAACTTTTTCGTCAATAATAAAAATAATTGTTATTGTAACATGATAACCATGTTGTTTATAAGTTGTGACCATTTTGTATATATGTTGTTAATATGTTGTATAAGTATATATGTAATAAATTGTTAAGTTGTGCTTATGTTTCTTTTTATTTTATTAAAGTTAAAACGAATGCAAGCACTAAAGAAGACAATAACTTTACAAATTGAAGCAGAAATTTATAACAAATCATGTTGACGATTGGATATGAATCGCAGAAAAGCACCATTGTCGAATGGTTATGAATCAAATCTTGCTATTATAATTTATTTTTTGCGTAAATATATTTTAAAATTTAAGCCTACTTTTCAAATTTATTTATAATAAATAAAATTGTCAATAATCATGTGTCTAATACATTATATTGTCCATAAGCTAATGAAAAATACGCCAATTTTAAACCAAAAAATTACAGTCGATTATCCTAATTACATCTTTAAACAATAAGGTATATAGGGGCTTCTAATAGGATTGCCATATGAAAACCCATACAATCCCATGCGCGACCCAGTTAATTAACAAAGGCGAAATCACAATGGTACGGTTCAAAAATGGCTAATCGTTGTTTTGCCAGTCCTCGCCCTGTACTGGCATGTCGCTGTTTTGCCATCGCTGGCTAGCCACGGCTGATCCATTAAAATCCTTAGAGCAAAACGGAGCTTTACCAGCGGCAGCTTAATCAGGACCAGTGCAAGACTATTTTTGTCTAAATATATTTATATTATTAATAAGTCTTTAACGCATAGAATTAGATTTTATAAAACTATTTATATATAAACTATTTCATTGATAACTTATAATAAAAGTTCTAATTAGGAAGCATCTTCTCGGAGATTTTCCATGCCATATATTAGCAAATTTAATAGGCGCACTAGTACCTGGTTTTATAACTAATTCGCATTAGTGCCTATGATGAGTGAATTTTTTCTGACGAACTTATGCCAATTAGCAAATACGCTAATTGACGTTTAGTCAATATGCTATTTAAGTTTGACAAACAACGGTACAACACCAGCGTTGCCACAGCCTGTATTATTTCGCTTAAGTTGAAATCAACGAATATGTTGAAGTTTAAATTGACGATCATTAAGGCGAGTATTCACTTATCTATTACTACGGTGAAGGGATCGGAAAATTATCAAGTTAGCATGCAGTTTTATTTCAGACAAATAAACTTTTATCACGCATGCTCAAGTGAATGTATTTTCGGGTAAACTCGCCTTCGTCACGGTTACTTACGGCTATTTACGTAGGAGTTTTTTAACACTATTAAACGTCAAGACCAAGCAAAAAGCGACGCGGTCCGGCACTTGCACTCATGTTTGTCAGAATGAAAATTGAACAATATGGCACTCGCTCAATAAAATACTAAAATAATAATTTATTGGGTCAGACATTATCTCCTATATGCAAGGTCGATAAGTAGAAAAAAGTAGTAACAGAAAGGCATAACAAATTTTTTAGAGAGCTCTTAGTTAACGTTAAATGTGGGTTCTAGAAATACAGTAAATAAAACACATATCACTTCAATTTTTATAACATTAGTCTTAAGGTTACGGGACGGTTATGCCCTCACTTCATCGTCCCTTAAAACTTATCTTCATCAAGTTAATTTACTTAATTGACAACTACTTAGCTAATTAATTGACGACTACTTAGCGAACCAACAAAAGGAAAAACAAACTTAAAGCTATAAAGATTTTATTTTGCTTCTTGCTCAGGCATGGAACGGATAATATCAGAATCCCCAGGATCAGTTATACTAAGAACACCAACACGAAAATATTTTCCGCAAGCAGTACCGAGCTCAATGTTGTTACCACTGTAATGGTGGACACCTGTCTTTGACAACATGGCATAATATTCTATTTCACTTTTCCTAAAAGACCAAAATTAAAAATTTAGCAAATAAAAAAAAGTTAACTATCAAGATTAATCCTGTACAAAAAACACCAATACCTTAATTGTGGAGTGTTGCTACCAATAATAACTAATTTGGATTTCCCTTGTCTAAGTGTCTTTAATGTGCTGCGATAACCCAGCGTGAATTTTCCACTTTTCATAACAAGAGCTAATCGAGAATTAATACTCTCTACGGTCTTTTTCTAAATAAACAGGATTAAAAAATTAAAAATCAACTACATAATAAAATAGCAAATAAAAAAACAAATACTGTATAAGTAAAAATAAGATAATTTTGATAAATGACCTAAAAATGCGATATTAGGCATTATTTAAGAAATTTTTTACTTAAAACATGCATCAGGTTCAATTAAACATAAATTCAAGTTAATACCAACTTTAGATGAATAAATTCATAACTAAACAACTTAACACGAAAAGATCATAGCTAAAAGAGATATATGCTTAAAACTTATCCATGGTGGCCACAAAATTTTAAAAGTTAAATTCCAGGACATTTTGTTGGGTTTTCCAGGACATTTTATATCTTTTTAAATGAATATTATCAATTACCTTAACGGTATATTTTTTCATATTGATTGAATTATAGAATAGGATATTATTATATTATAATTTAATTATTAAAATTCTCTTATTTAAAATTAAATTCAAACCATTTATATAAGAAAAATTTTAGTATAAAAAATTTAATATTACTTCAATATTCTTAGTAATTTTTTAACTTGACTCAGAAAAAAAAGTTCCAGGACATTATTGAAAAAAATGTAATTATCCAGGACACTTGCAAAAATCCAGGACATTCCAGGACTGTGGTCACCATGTTGTCTCTAATATCCATGAAAAATGCACATCAAATAAATAGTTAGGTTTTTCTTCTTTTGATAAAGTAGCATATGTATCCTAAAAATTCTTTTTTCAAAAATTAAGGGTTTCAGTACTAATAATACCATCAATATTGTAGCCAGCTGGTACAAATGCCACTACATAGACTAAGATTTTTTTTTAAATCTTATTCAAGATGTTGAGTTTATTTATTCTGATAAATATTGAATTGAAAATTATCAAGTTATTTTCTCTAAATTTTGAGATTTCCTCTTAAACTAAGACTTGTCTGCAGATACACATTCCTAATTTCAAGACTTGTTAAAAATTCAAATTACTTTTGCAATTTTGAGATGTCCTCTAAAGAGTTTAGTAAAAAAAGATATAATGTGCACCTAAATAAGCAATACAACCTAAATAATTAAAGTTAAATAAAAGTTAATAAAAATAAAAGTAAACTGTAAAAATTCATTTCTTATCTTGAATGCTATATTATATATCATTTAGCTAGTAAACGTTGTTATTAAACACCATTGGAAATTATTATAAAGTTACTTATATAATTGTAATTGCCTAACTATGATCCAAAATGAAGTTGGATTCAAGTATGGATATCTAACGAAGTTGGATTTAAAGCTGTTTTTACAGTCTTTTTTCAAAAACAAAAAATAATTTAAATGACTCAATTTATCTAAAATTATTTTCTTCATTATAAAAAATTACTGCCTAAAACATTTAAGTCAAGGAGAGAAAATATATTAATTTAAAAAATTTAAGAGTATTAGATAAAAGAATGAAAAGAGATATAAGTTATAATAAAATTATGAACAAAAACAAAATACACAAATAGTAAAAATTGTTAGGCAATGTTACCTTAGCTGCTGGTGCCATTTCAACGGGATATACTAAAATATAAGACATAATATTAGAAGCAATATCTTAAATTTATATAGGATATTGCTTCTAATATAAATTTATAGCCTAATAAACTAATTGTTATAAATAATTATATATAAAAAAAAATTAAACAATGGATTGTCAGCTTCATAATTGCTGTTCATAGATATAATATAATCTAGACCACACCCATGAAGCTATATAATATACTTCTTCTGACGACCAGGTCATAATCGTGTTTGTAACATAGACAAGGTGCTTTGTTGAAGATTCTATATATTTAAATTTTTGTTGATGGGACAACCAATACAGTCAAATAGAACTTGCAAACATTAGCATAAATGTGAAGCAGTTGCAATCACTAAATTAAGTGCTAAATAACATAAACGCAAACTGCTTTAGTGAGAAACACCAATGCACCCAACATAAGCAATTTGTACCAGTTTTGCAACAGCTTTGCACATTTAATTATATTAAATATATTGTAGTAAGAATTACACCTTGAGATATTGTTGTTCATAAAAATAAGACTTGTTTATGTTTATTGTTATGTAAAAATATATACTGATTTATAATAAGTGCTATTAAACATTTAAAAATGTACTATTTAAACAATCTAGAACAATTTTCAGATTACCAAAAAATTATAAGTAAAATAAGAATAATATTTTTTTTTTAAAAAGGGCCATTCATATTTGTAAAACTTAATTACTATTTTTTTTTTAATTTTTTTGTTGAACCTGAATATGAAAAAAAATTCCAAGGTTAATAAATGATGGCAGCTTCATAATTGCTGTTCATAGATACAAATTAATCCAGACCACACCCATGAAGCTTTTTACTATACTTCGTCTGACGACCAAGTCATAATAGTTAAAATAACATAGACAAGGTGCTTTGTTGAAGTTAAGTAAACAATTTAAATATTACCTATTTAATTTAACATATAATTTAGTATTAAACATTATAGTATATTTGCTTTGCACCTATAAGAACATGACACGCACTTTTTTAAACATGCAAAAAAAAATTTTTTAAATTATCATAGCCTGATAAATTTACTTTATGACTTACCAATTAACAGGACCTATCTCAATGTATCTTATTCTTGTGATTATTTTGGTACTACTTGAAAATCAGGTTAGTAGTCAAAGAAAATAAATGAAACTATTACTAATCAATAGATAGACTGTAATAATTCTGGTTAGTTTGACAAGGCTGGTTTAGTTAGACAACTATTTACTACTTTTAAAGGTTATTTATTTTTTGAGACTAATAAAATTAATTTAGAAAAATCTGGTAAATAAAAGCGAAGTTTGTATTTTTAATATTAATTCTTAAGGATTTTCCTATATCTATAAAAGAATATAAAATTAAGAAATTTTTGTATTCACAAAATTCTATATTTATAAAAATTTTTAACATTAATCTCATATGTATTTTTAAGAACCTAGGCGAATCCTCCAGAATTATTTGATAAATTCAAGAATTTATAACTATATATACACAAATAAATATGTGTTTGCATTAATTACAAGCATTTAAAGTAACTATATATTGCTTATTGATTCTTTTTAGTTGAAACCTGGACTGGAAAGTTTAGTTTGTTAATTTGCTTAGCAAATGCTGCTAAAAAATATTATTTTTAATTGTTAAAAATGTTAACAAGATGAATAATTTAAGAACATTTTGAAAACATACTCTACTACACTAGCCCTTAAATTTAAAGGACTAGGGACAGAGTCCTGATAGGTACGGTTTCGGTAAAATTAACTCAAAACATTAAGCAACAGATTTTAATTCTTTATTTCTGTAAAAAAGAAGACTTGTTTTTTTACCTGAAATACACATGTATATACATGTGTAATTATTATATAATGTGCATATATATATATATATATATATATATATATATATATATATATATATATATATATATATATATATATATATATATATAGACACACACACACACACACACACACACACACACAATTATTAAAAATGTTTACATTTAAGTATTACAAACTTTTCGACTAAGTACAATAAAAACTTGTTGAAATTCATTTTAATTTATCGTATTATTCACAACCATATATATATATATATTGGATATGGTAGTGAATAATAAGAAAAACAGTTACTTATGGAATAAATCTGGATTATCAATTAACCAGGATTTGGAGAAAGAAACTGTTTGTAACAGTAAAAAACTAATTGGAAATTCATACCGTTTCTTTCCACGTTAGAACAACAGATTAATATAGTTCAAGGCATTTGAAATAACTTCGCCTTAACAATAGATCATCCTGGCTTATTTGATTTTTTTGAAGTCGATAATGGCTCGAGAAAGGCAACAATACTTATTTATAAGAAATAAATAAGTTTTATAATAAAATATGTTGCCAATTCCCGGTACTCCATCCTTCTGGTCACAAAGTATAAGTATCTATTAAATAAAATTTTGTAAAATAATAAATGACCAGAAGAACTTCTCACCAGAGAGCCTGTCTTTGTCTTCGGATCACCTTTAAAAAGAGCGCATGAGATACCGTACATGTAAAATATCTATATTATCTCCAGACTTCTTAATTAAGGGTTATTTTCCACGCAACAAAATTTGCGATAAAAAATGCAGAACAGAAAAAGGCAGAAACTTTTATATTTGAACACTGGTTTTTGAAACTTGAATTTCCTACAATAACAAATACTTGTAATTTTTAATAAAATACACAAAGGTATTGTACGATACCTTTGTATATTTTATTAAAAATTTAAAAATATAAAGTATATACGCATGACTTACGAATAAAAAGAAGAAGTTTAATGTTTTTGTAATAAAATTATTTTTTAGTCTTTTACTTAGTTTATTAGTTGTTGTTTTTTTAGTTTATTAGTTTATTTCGCCGTTAAAAATATTCACAAAACACAACAACATAAAAAGTACAAATGTCTGGAGCAAAAAGAGGGCATAAAATAGCCTCATCACCGAGCCCCAATAGTAACGCAAATAAATATCCGTAATATATAATAATCCGTAATATATAAGCAACAGCATTTAAAAAAGACAATTTTAAAATGTTAAGAAATAGAGTAAAAAAAGAAAATTAAAAAAAAAGTATTGAAATAATTGGAAAAAAAAAAAGAAATGATTAAAATATAGTAATAAAAATGACAAAAATTTTCTGTTTTTGGTTATAAACTGGATGTGATTCGATATATATATTGTATATATTATTTTTTTTCAAAATAACTCAAAATTCAAATAAAATTTATGTTCCAATATCATAAAATATATCAAGAAAAGTGTTGGTAACTTTAAGAGAATTTATTTCAATGAAAGTATGATAAAGACATTAAAGTTCTTAATATTGTTAAATGGTTTAGATTTTTAAATTTATGGTGCTAATTTAGTTTAATAAATTTTAAAATTTTAAAAGTGACAGAGAAGATCTGCTATATTAAAATCCGTAAGTACTAAATAACGTCTTAATTTAGATTTGAATTGCGGAAATGTTTTTTCTTTAATATTAACAATATGCTGAAAGTTTTTAGTAAATTTTTTTTTATTGTTGTTTAGTTTTTTCAAATATATTTTTATAAAGTTTGTAGTTTGTTTCATTTTTATACGTTTTTTTTTTAAGAAATTTTCATACAGCTTTTTTTTTTTTTTGAAGACTTTAATAAACCTTTAGACATCCATGGAGCTTGATATAACTTGGTATTTATAACAATTTTTTCTCAGGAAAAGCTTTTTCATATTGCTGACAAAAAAATTTAAGAAATAGTTCATAGGCATTATTTTCAGTACCGGGATCCAATTTTGTGGAAAGTTTTTCCACAAAATTGGACCCCGGTACTGAATAGAATAAGAGCATAACTTTAGATTATACTTTTGAGTTACAAAGTTATTTTCTGAGAACTTGGTGGGGTATTTATGGCTTACTTCTCTAAAATAAGGATAGAATATCGCTGGGGACAGCCCATGTTTTATTTGATACATGAACTGCATGACGAGGAATATGTTAATTTTAAACACATTTAATGCATTGAGTTTACGTAGAAGTGGCTCACAAGGCACAGTTCTTTTTACTCCAAATACAATTCTACATGCATGTTTTTGTTTAGTATAAGTTTTCTTTAACTTAGCGTAGTTGTTGCTTGCCCATACGATATTGCCGTCAGCTAGATGGCTATGTATAAAGGAAAAATATAAACTTTTTAGAGATCTTATATCCAAAAATGGTTTTGCTTTATACATCATTGCAATGTTTATTGAAAGTGTTTTTTCAAGAGTGCTTATATGTTTCCTCCATGTTTAATTTTTGTCTAAAATAATACCTAAAAAGTTTACAGTTGTTTGCCTAGTAATATTTATATTATTGATTTTAAGATTGGGTAATTTTAAAGGAAGGTTTCCTGTTTTGGTTGGTTTGTGAAATAGAATAAACTTAGTTTTGTTAACGTTAAGTGAAAGTTTATTACAAATAAACCATTCGTTTACTTTGTTTACTTCTTCATTAACTACTTTAAAGAGAGTTTTAATATCCCTATGAGAATAAAACAGATTGGAGTCATCCACAAACAAAATAAAGTTTAATATGTTCGAGGTAAGAGATAGATCATTTATATAAAGAGAAAACAGTGACGGTCCTAAGATTGAGCCTTGAGGAACTCCACATTTTATTATACTTTTTGTCGTTTTAACATTTTCATTCTGAATGTATTGCTGTCTGTTTGATAAGTATTCTTTAAACCATAGTAAATTATTGTTTTTTATTCCATAATGTTCAAGTTTTTTTAAAAGAATGACATGGTTGACTGTGTCAAAGGCTTTAGACAGATCAATAAATACTCCTAATGTAAAACGGTCATCATTAAAGGCATTAGTTACATGAGTTACTAACTCGGTCAAAGCGTGATCAGTTTAATGATTTTTTTTAAAGCCAAACTGCTTGTTGTACAACATGCAGTTTGGCTTTAAAAAAAATTTATATTTACTGTTAAGTAGCTGTTTAGCCTATTATGCATTATACGTTCGAGTAACTTAGAAAAGCATGGTAAAACTGATATTGGTCTTTAATTTGAAGAATCCGTGTCATCGCCAGACTTAAAATTAGGCAAGACCCGTGCAATTTTTAATTTTTCTGGAACTGTTCCAGATTGAAGAGAAAGTTTAAAAATGTGATGTAAAAAGGTTTCTATAATATGAAAATCTGATTTAACAACATTTATGCTAATATTATCAAAACCTACACTTGTGTTGCTTTTAAGATTATCTAGAGCATATCGTAACTCATTAATATCTAGTTTAGATTCGTCCATGACCTTATGTTTTTAAATAAGAGTTAAACGATGATGAAATAGAAGGATTTTTTCCAGCTAAGTTTGGACCAATATTAAGAAAGAAGCTGTTTAGATTTTGAGCTACTATTGACTTGTCATATATTATTTTACCATCTATTAAGAATTTCTTTGGTTGAATACTTATTCCATTTTATTTTCTGCCAATAATTTCTTGAGTTATGCTTCACGTACTTTTAGCATTTCCGTTAGTTTTTTTTAACAACTTTAAATAGTAAATTTTTTTTGATTGTTGTTTAGTTTTTTCAAATATATTTTTATAAAGTTTGTAGTTTGTTTCATTTTTATACGTTTTTTTTTTTTAAGAATTTTTCATACAGCTTTTTTTTTTCTTTGAAGATTTTAATAAACCTTTAGACATCCATGGAGCTTGATATAACTTGGTATTTATAACAATTTTTTCTCAGGAAAAGCTTTTTCATATTGCTGACAAAAAAATTTATGAAATAGTTCATAGGCATTATTTACCTCTACCGATTGCATTATAAGATCCCAATCAACGTTATATTTTAAAAGGTGTTGAAATTTTTGTAAGAAGTATTTATTGATCTGCCGCCTGTGTATTATAAATTTAGAAGAAATATTATTAATTGTTATATTATTAGTTATTAAAAAAGTAGGAAAATGATCTGATAAGTCTGTTTTGATTATACCTGTGAAAATATAGTTGTTATAAAAATTGTTAGTGATTATATTATCAAGTAAAGTAGAAGATTTCTTAGTTATTCTGGTTGGTTTATTTATTGTTGGAAAAACATTATGTTGAAGAAGTTTATCGATAAAATGCTTAATTTTATTTGAAGCTTGTTTTAACAAGTTCAAATTGATATCGCCGACAACATAAATATGCTTCCGTTCTTTATTGACTTTAGTTAAAAATGTGTTTAAGTGAGTTTTAATTTTTTTAAGTTACCAGATGGCTTTCTATAAATAGCATTAACAATTATGTTTTTTGTGGTTTTATTATAAAGTTCAATGCACAATGACTCACAATCTGTTTCATTAACGCATAGGTCATTACAAGGGAAAAAATCAATTGAATTGTGGACAAAAATGCTAACGCCTCCGCCACCATAACTATCACGTGGTTGATGAACTGACGTGTAATTAATTAAATCAAACTGTGTAGTACTTATCGGCCATTCTTGTTATAACTCCTTGGTGCTTTCCAGTGTTGGAAGCTGTAGTATCATATCACTGTATATGATGACTAAGACCAAAAGAATCTAATAGATTATAAACTGCTTTAAACTGATTTTCCCCGAAACCTGACTCAATATGAGGAATACCTAGGAGCTCAGTTTTCCCATTCACTTTCACTAGTACTACTAATCTTTCTCTTGTAACTGAAACTTTATCTGTATATTCTTTAAATATTTTCCCGTCAAAGTGAACAGAAATCAGCTTATATTTGGAGTCAGTCAAGTCTTTTATATACTGTCTAATTTTTTGAGCTTCCGAATTTATTACTTTATCTACAGCTCGAAGAGATGATGATTTGGACACAACAAATTTATTTATTTCTCCTCCCGAAATTGCTATAACACTGCTTATGATAGCAGTGTGCTGATTGATAGAAAGACCTTCTCCTACAGCAGTTAGTGCTGTACGCTTTAAAATATCTTTAGACAGTAATAAACTTTGCTCTTCTTCATGAGAATCGTCATTTGACTCACTTGTAACAGACTCGAGGCATTCTGAGCTTAAAGAAAAATCACTAACATCACCTTCTGAGCTATAAGTTGCATTTAAATCTCCTATTGATGATTCATTTTTAATTTTTTTTTTTTTTTCAGATCTTTTTGCAGACTTTTTGAAGCAAGTATCAGAAATGCCTAGACAACCTTGTCTTTTTTCTTTCTGCATTTTCAAGAACATAATGTCCATACATTTACTTTCTTCAGTTCTTTTTCTACCCTTTTTTATTTCATCAATCATGATGAAATAAAAAAGGGTAGAAAAAGAATGTATGTCATGTCCTAACCAGAAGAATTGTATGTCATGTCCTAACCAGAATACCCTTTTAGATTCTATTAAGAAGATCTCTCTATCTTTTATTGCTCTTGGTGTTGATCTGTTTCTTAGCCATTGCAGCTTTTTATATTTCATTACTACAGCCTCGACTTCTTTCCTAAAAATTAGACTTATTAAAT